GCAAACTCAGGGAGGCAGTGAAGGACAGGAAGGCCTGGCACGATATGGTTCATGGGATCACAAAGAGTCGGGCACGACTTAACGACTGAACAACAAATGCACAATACATATGAAGTGCACTATTCAAAATGCACAGAAATCAGCAACTATCTGTAATCTTTCTATTATTCTAGAGATGCATTATTCATATTCAAAGCTGTTGTTGGCTAGAGGTCAGGTACAATTTCTGCTCCCTTTTAGCTCAAGACAGCAAATCATGGTTCCAATTTCAGAAGAACCCTAACTCTGGCAAAATTTAATGCCCTTCCAACAGCAGGGATGTTCCGTTTAAACAAAGACTTTGCCTTGATGGTAAAGGAATTACTGAAACATTAAATCATGTTTTGTTATATTGCCCTTATTACAAAGATTATTTGTAATATACATAGTACTCCAGCTGTATCACATTCATGATTATTTAGTTTTTATTATGATTTTTATTTGCTGCCTCAGAATTTATCATCTTTTTTGAATTGGTGAAAGATCATAATGAAGTTTATTGATTGCAGCTGAAACAAATCACAATCACCCACAAAATGTAATCAGTATTAAAATCTCCCTCACCACTGCACCCAAAGAAATCAGCTAAACTTATTGGTCATGCATTTCTGCTTGTGTTAAATTCTTTCAGTCCTCTTAGCTACTTTGAAATAACATGAAGATACTTTATTTAATTTTTCTATTTATTCATTTATTTTATTTATATCAAACAGCTGCTCGAGGAATCTAATATTGACTGGCATAGAGAAAATTAATTGCTTAGTCATGCATCATACTTCTTTTATGAGAAAGCTTCATACACCTGATACTTAGGCAATACTTAATTAATAGGGAGAAATGTGTGCCCTGCATCTGAGAAGAAAAAATTAGAGACACCAGGATGGGACAGGGGAGACCTGGCTTGGCAGTACTAGTTATGAAAAGGATCTGAGTGTTCTTGGGTATCACAAGTTGAACATGAACCACCAGTATGGTGCAACTGCTAAAAAAAAATAAAATCCAATCATCATGGGAATTGTCCCATTCTATCCTACTTTGGTCAAGTCCCACTTGGATACCGTCTCAGTTCTAGGCACTACAGTCTAAAAAGAACATTGGCAAATTGAAACAAATTCAGGGTAAAGCCACCAAATTGGTGAGAGGCTTGGAAACCTAGTCCTATGAGTAATGGTTAAAGGAATGGGATGTGTTTAACCTGTAGCAGAGAAGACTGAGGGAGATATGAAGGCTCTCTTAAGACATCTAAGGGGTGGTCATATAGAGGAGAAAGTGGACTTGTCAGATGAAGCTACAGGGAAGTAGATTCAGAGTAAATATTAGAAGGAATTTCCTGATGGTAAGAATTGACAACCAGAGAAATAGGTTATTATCCTTCACTGGAGGCTTTTCTTTTTAAAATTTTTATAGTAATTGTATTAAAAATTACAATTAAAAAGATAAAAACTAATGCAAAGTAAAAAATAAAAGAATAAAAAAAAATAAAGTTCAGAAAAGAAAAAATAGAAAAATAGAAAAGAAAAAAATAAGAATATAATAAAGAAAAATAAGAAATATATAAAGAAATTACTTCCCCCTTCATCATAGTAAGTATAAGCAATTTTTAGTAACTTATCACCTTCTCTTAAAATACAGCAAATGATCTCTTCTTCCCACATCCCATCTGTTATCTATAAACAAATCCTTAAAGTCTCGTCCTTCAGTCCTGATCAGCAAATGGCCATTGAGGATTAGCAGAGATAACATATCTATTTTAACCTTGATCAGATAAACCAACTTTATATTCCTTCCTTTTACTTTTAACAATCTTGATTTTTAGTTCCTTCAAATACTGTCCTAGAACGTGATTTCTTTTAATTTTTTTCTTTGTCCCATCTCATAAATTCTTCAAAGCTTTAACAAGTCTCTTTTGTAAATCCAATACAGGAAAGTTATGCAGGTAGCTCTATTGGTTTTTTATTTGTATATCCCTTTTAATTATTAAGACACCAGCTGGTTTCATTTGTATGTCCAGTGTAGCATCTTTTTCCATATCATTCTTGTAGCCTGTCATTTTTAAATTCACTTTCAGATCATTCACAGTCTTGTCCAGTAAAACTTATTCCTGTTCCATAACATCTTTTAAACACAGTCTATCTATAATGGCAGACACTCTTAAAATTAACTTCTGGGTCCATTGTTCAAAAATATCCTTCAGTATATCCTATGTTAAAATATTTTGCTCCATTCCATATTAGTAGGTCAAATTTAAGTGTTGTTCTTCTTTAATTGTAACCTTTAGTTCCTTTTGGTTCCCTCTAGTGTCCAATCTTCAAAGACTCATCCAATCATATTTTTTTTAAAAGAGAATTCAAAGCAAAAGCATTTTCCCATAGGAAGGATTCTTATAATTAATTCCAAAATCTTATTTCAAATCCATTTGGACCCTTAGTCCTTTTGTAACTTTCCAAAATCAAAGTTCTAATCACCCTTTTGCTGTTTATTCCAAAAGATTTTTTTTAAAGAGAATTCAAAGCAAAAGCATTTTCCCATAGGAAGGATTCTTATAATTAATTCCAAAATCTTATTTCAAATCCATTTGGACCCTTAGTCCTTTTGTAACTTTCCAAAATCAAAGTTCTAATCACCCTTTTGCTGTTTATTCCAAAAGATTTTTTTTAAGCCCTTAGTATTTAAAACTTCTTTCAGTAAGGATTGAAGGAAACTCACCCAGTGCTGTAAAATGTGTTGATCCAAAGGTTT